CTCCCCTTTAGATTAGACCGCGTTGCTGCGTCTCCTGCGCTTGGGATGTGACAGCGCTGCTGAGTGCGTGGACCAATGGGAAAACCCAATGGATGCTCCGTATGGGATTGTGCCGTCCACCAGTGCCAGGCACGTCCCATTGGAGCTATGGACCCTTCAAGGCTGTCAGTGGGTGATTAATGACCCATAGCCACCCCCAAATGCCAGTTTGGGGGTGGTTTGACCTGGTGCTCAATGAGGTACCTTTGCAAGCCTCTTCATGAATGCAGCGGAGTGGTCCCATAGAGCCCCATGGGGTAGGGGCACATACATGTCCCCCATCCAAACTGCCCCGTGTTCCCACTTGCTTGGGGTGCACAATGGTGGGGACCACAATGAACTAATGCAAGAAAGCCCTAAACGGAATTCCAGCTGCTGTGTTGCAGGCCAGGCAGGGATGCTGGGTCCCAGGGAGGGATACTGGATCCATGGCAGGGATGCCAGATCCATGGCAGGGATGCCAGGTCCCATAGAGGGATGCTGGGTGAATAGCAGGGATGCTGAGTCCATGGCAGGGATGCCAGATCCATAGCAGGGATGCTGGCTCCATGGCAGGGACACCAGGTCCCATGGAGGGATGATGGCTCCATGGTGGGGATGCCAGATCCATGTAGGGGTGATGGCTCCAGGCAGGGACGCCAGGTCCATGGCAGGGATGCTGGATCCATAGTGGGGATGCTGGGTCCTAGGCAGGGATGCTGGATTTGGGGTGACAAACCCCAGTGGACCTGCTGCCCCTCTATGGGGCTCATAGGGAAATGCCTTTCAGGGGGGTCAGCATCCAGCCAGGCTTTGGATCGAGGGCAGCATTCCTTTGTCCTGATTGGATTCGTTAGGAGCGTTTGGAATGGACACAGGCAGCTAATGAGGGAGGGAGTTTATTGCAGTTTGATTCTTCTGTTAAAACAATACAAGAAAAGCGATGCCCTTGGAAATGTGGTATGTGTTTGTACATAGTGGATTTATGGCTCCGCAGGCTTCCAAAGAGACGCAGCCTTTCATTCCCTTCCTTATTGGAACAGATCAGATTGCAGGGTTTAAAGGGCTCTGGAGTTGTGATTTATTTGAAGGCAGAAACGAGGGAAATCCAACTGTCTGTTCCCTGGCTCACATCATCCCGTAGCATCCCGGCCAAGGGGATGGATCCGCACCTCCCTTCCCCATTGCTTACATTATCCAGCTCTAAATATATCACTGAGACAGGGCTGACTCCTGACCTGGGCTTCGGCACCTCGCTGAGGCTTCCCCAGCCCTTCCCGGAATCCCACACATAAATCACCCTCCCGGAGCCCTTTCCAAGCTCCTCGGGATGGGAGCTGCTGCTTTGATCCCAAGCAGAGATGTTGGCTTGATCTCTGGGATCGGGTGATAAATCCATGCCAATAGGTCCCTGTTTCCTCTCCAGGGAGCCCTTTCTCCTCCCTCCCAACTGGAGCATCACCACAATGGCTCAATACTCGGTGCTGCTATGGGGTATCCCAGCACAACCCCAATTCCCACCAGCAGGAACAGGGTGAGACTGTTCCTTGGGCTTTCTGTAAAGCATTTAGTGCAAAACCCCTGCTCCCAGGTACCCCGGGGACATTCGGGAATGACCAGTTCGGGTCCCACCAGGAGCATCCATCCTTCCCTGTGCTGCTGGGAGGAGATTTCCCTTCTCCTCTTCAGTGAGCACTCATCCATGGGGCAGATGGAGAATGGGAAGGAACAACCAAGCTTTCCAGAGCAGGGGTACCCAGCTCCATCTCATCCCTTGTTTTCCATGGGGTGCTCTCTCCCCCTGCACACAGCCAGGCTCTGTTTGCCATTGGCTTCCCCTCCTCTGCCCTACTGATGTGAGTGTTAATTCTCACTCATGTTTCGGGTAAATCCACCTTCTTTCCTGGGATGAATTGTGGTTTTTAATCATTTCCCTTTAGAAAACAGCATCGGGGGGGCTGGAAACAGCCTTCCTTTATTTACTGGATGACCTGGCACGCCGGCACCCGGCCATGGGGCTGGCGTCTGCAGAGCGATGGGGAACACATAGAGAAGCCTTGGGGTGAGCAGGACGGCACCATTGGCTCCCATTGGGATCATTCCCAGAGGACAAACCCCCTTATTCCTGAGCAAGAGGATGGAGAGGAGACCGCCACTGGAATGCCCTGTGTTGTAACCCGCTCCCAAAAGCCTCTTCCCAAGGGGTTGTTCCACCATGAGATGTGCCATGGGAATTCCCAGGGTGTGGAATCAGGCATCAGGACCCTTCCACTGCTGGGGTGGGCAGGGAGCAAAGGAAAGGTCCCTTTACAGCGAGCACATGTGAGCAGTTTCCTCCTTCCCAGCCCGGCACTGTCAGGGGATGATTAATGGCCAAGGCTGCAGAAGGGCCGTGATTGCCAAGTGCTGCATTGTTAGCGCTGACATGGAATGAGCCCGGACAGACTTGAACACAATTCTGCACCATAATGTGCAAATCACATTGGATAGACTTCATTTGTGGAGTATTTCCCCCCCTGCACAGGCCCTTTCCCTGCTTTCTCTCCCTTTCAAAGCCTTGTCAGAGTGACCAGAGCACCCTGCAGCCCCCCCGGTCCCCCAGAGCTCCGGCTCTTCCCATGGATTTCCCTCACTGGGCTTAGATGCTCTCTTAGGTCTCAGCTAAGGAGCAGTTTTCCCTCTTCTCCCCACCGAAACATCAGCTTTTAATGCACTTTCATTGCATTCATGCACTGGAATCCAGTCCCCTGCCGCTGCTGCTGTGCTCCAGGAGGAGCTGCAGCAGTCACTGGGAATTCTGGGGTTCCAGCAGGTGATTTTAGGGCTCCCCGTGCCAATACATGGACCTGGCACCATGGCACCCAGAGCAGAAATGGGGATGGGATGGAGATGGGAATGAGGACAGGGATGAGGATAGGATAGAACTGGGGATGGAACAAAGACAGGGATAGGGGTGGGATGGAAATGGGGATGGAGATGGGAATAGCAATGGGATGTGAATGGGGACAGGGATGGGGATGTGATAGAAATGGGGATGGAGATGGGGATGGGAATGGGGACAGGGATGGGGATGGGAATGGGAAGAGGGAAGAAGGATAGGGATGGGATTAAATTGAGGATGGAGATGGGGATGGGGATGGGAATGGGAAGAGGGAAGAAGGAAGAAGGATAGGGATGGGATTAAATTGGGGATGGGAATTGGGATGGGGATGGGAATGGGAAGAGGGAAGAAGGAAGAAGGATAGGGATGGGATTAAATTGGGGATGGAGATGGAGATGGGAATGGGGACAGGGAGGGGGATGGGTATGGGAACAGGGATAGGACTGGAATGGGAATGAGAAGAGGGATAGGGATGGGATGGAAATGGGGATGGAAATGGGGATGGGAATGGGGACGGGGTGGGGATGGGAATGGGAACAGGGATGGGGATGGGAATGGGGACAGGGATAGGGATGGGATGGAAATGGGGGTGGAGATGGAAGTGGGGATGGGATGGAAGTGGGGATGGAGATGGGACAGGGCAGGACTGGTGAGCAAGAGCTTTCCACCCCACCGCTCCGCCTGCGCACGGAGGTAACCTTAAACACCAGAGCGGGACGCGCGGGGACAGAGTTTTTCCAGCCCTATTCACAACTGTCAGGCGGTGATTAATGGCCAACAGGCTCGGAATTGCCTTTATTGCCAGCCCGGCATTGTTCCTCCTGACAGCTAATGAGGTTAGACAGACTTTACACAGCCTTTACTCCATCCCTGCGGAGCCTGGGGCAGGGGGGACCCTCTCTGCTCCCCAGCAGCGGCCAAGCCTCAGTGCATCCCAAGGGGCTGCCACGTCCCTACCCCAGATCCATGCCCTTGGGACCATGGAGCAGCAGCGGGCAGGCTGGGAGGCTTCAAACCCTCAATGAGCTCCATGGTAAAAGCCACGAGGTGTTTTTATACTGCAGCAGGATGGAGGGGGGAACGGAGCAGGGGTGAAGTGCAATAAAGCATTTGTTCATATAGCAAAGCCCACTCTGTTAAACCAGAGCTGCCACACAGACACCAAGGAACGTTCCTGGCGCTGGCTCCAGGAATAATGATTTGGGGGGGGCTTTTTTCCTTCTTTTTTTCAGGATTATTACCAATAATATTTACCTTTGTGCACGTTCACATCTTGATGCTGTTAAACACGTGGCCGCAGCTGGTTTCCCGCTCAGGGTAATGATGTTATGAGGCAAAAGCTCTCCTGCGAGCCAGAACACCCCCCCCCATGTAAAAACCTATTACTTTTCAATCCGAGATGACCGCATTCTGCTGCAGCTCCAAGCAATTTCCTAGTTTACCCTTATTAAAGCAAGCAGGGGTTGAGTGGAGGCCCGTGATTTATGAAACACATACCAGCCCCATTAAAACCTTTACAGATTTAATACGTTTTATCCAGGCCTTAAATCTGGGCACGTGTTTTGATACACACAAAAAAGAAACCCCAAACCTAACCCGGGTGTATTTCTTCTCTGGCGCTTTTTCACACTTACTTAAGAGCTGTAAAACTCAGATTGACAAACGTCACAGATATTTCATGCCTTCTTTCTAAGCGGTGCTGAATCCCCCTGACGGCTTTGTTAGAGAGAACCCTCGGAGATCTATCAAAGAGCAAATTGTTCTCTTTTACTGGTGTTCTATACGTCTCGCCCGTGGTTTTTAAGCCACCTTTAACATATAGAGGTGAGGATTTAATGTGTTTTCACCTCGGCTGTCACTTTTCCCCTTGTTACCCTTGTCCATAAGGGGAGGGCTGTCCTTTCTTTGACCAAACAAAGTCCCATAAGGGGTTTGGGGGGCTCAGGGTGATGGGATGCAGGATGCCCCCCTCCCAAAGCCACGCTGGAAGAGGCGGAACCGGGTCTCGAACCCGCGGCCTCCGGACTCCCGCTCCTCCACCGCCCCCTGGCGGGGTAGAAAGCGCGGTCGCGCTGTGATGACGCGCCAGGGCGGCGCCGGGCCGGTGCCGCTGAGGGGGAGCCGGCGCCGTTACCGAGCGGGCATGGCCCAGCTGGGCGCCATCGCGGCGCTGTCCCTCAGCTTCCTCGCCGCCGCCTTCCTCTCGGCCATCCACAAGATCGAGGAGGGGCACATCGGTGTCTATTATCGGTGAGGCGAGCCCCGCGCCTTCCCCCCCCTGTCCCCGCCGCCCGGTGCAGGCGGGCCCCTCACAGGCCGCCGCCTCACGGTCCCTCTGTTCCGTTCCACAGCGGAGGAGCGCTGCTGACCTCCACCAGCGGGCCCGGTTTCCACCTCATGCTGCCCTTCATCACGTCCTACAAGTCAGTGCAGGTGCTGCCGGGGCCTGGGCCGTGGGGTCGGGCTGGTGGAGGTTTGGAGGGGGGGTTATGGTGGTGTCTGCGGCCCAGGGCTCTCGGGACCGGCCCGGTGGGCTGTGAATGAGCGGCTGGGCCTGGTTCTACGTGCGGGGATTGAAGGGGGGGATAGGGGCAAAACGCTGTTCCATGTGCGGATAAAGTGGGAAATCCTTAAGCCTCTTTTCCCTAAACCTCTCTTCAGACCACGCTGCAGACGGATGAGGTGAAAAACGTTCCTTGTGGCACCAGGTGAGACGTTGAGCTGTTGTTGGGATAAACCTTTGCATCCTCCCCCTGTTTTCCTCCCTGATAGCTCCAGCATGCTTTAAAACGGGTAGGTTTGTTTGCAGGGGGTGGGTTTCCCACTCCTCCCCCTCTATAACTGGAACCAGTGGCGAGCTCAGGGTGCTGGGGTGGGTGGTGCAGCCCCATCCTTAGGCTCTGCGCTGCCTTTTCCATGGGTTCACACGCGCTAATCCGGTTTCCGGGTTGAAGCCTGGTGTTCTGGAGCCGCTGTGGCTGCCGGGCTCAGCCCACTAGAGGGGGGTGTCTGCCTCTGCTCTAGCCCAGCTCCGTGCTTTGCTCACGGCTTGCTTTGCCTTCCCTTGGCAGTGGAGGGGTGATGATTTACTTCGACAGAATCGAGGTGGTGAACTTCCTCATCCAGAGCGCAGGTGAGCTCGTCCCCTGTGTCCCTGCCGGTGGTGCCGTTTGTGCTCCTGGGGTGAGGCGAGGTGGAGAGGTTTGTGCTATGTCCTCAACATATAAAGGACATGGAACTGCTAGAACAAGTCCAGAGGAGGCCACGAAGATGCTCAGGGGACTGGAGCAGCTCCTGTATGAAGATGGGCTGAGAAAGATGGGGCTGTTCAGCCTGGAGAAGAGAAGCTGCATGGAGACCTCATAGCAGCCTTCCAGTATCTGAAGGGGGCCTATAGGGATGCTGGAGAGGGACTCTTCATTAGGACCTGCGGTGACAGGACAAGGGGTGATGGTTTCAAACTGAAACAGGGGAAGTTTGTTTTGGATATAAGGAAGAAGTTCTTTACTGTAAGGGTGGTGAGGCACTGGAATGGGTTGCCCAAGGAGATTGTGAATGCTCCATCCCTGGCAGTGTTCAAGGCCAGGTTGGATGAAGCCTTGGGTGAGATGGTTTAGTGTGAGGCGTCCCTGCCCATGGCAGGGGGGTTGGAACTGGGTGATCTTAAGGTCCTTTCCAACCCTAACTATTCTATGATTTGGAGCCAGTGTTTCCCCCATGTACCTTGTAACACCCTGGACTTCCTGGGTGTAAGCCTAAAACCAGCTCTCCCACGTGTTTTGTGTGTTTATTGTTTCTTGCACATACTTGTTCCACTCTGCCACTTGCTTCACTAGAGCTCATATGCCATCCAGCTACCAGTGGTTGCATTGTTACACCCCCGCTGGGCTTTATGCTTCAGTGAAGAACTGATTTGAACAAGGTGTGCAAGAGGCAGGGGAGAGAAGGGTGTTTGGGAGCAAAAACCTGCCTCTGCAGCCCAAGAAGAATGACCTGGCAGCCTTTTTCCCCCAAATTCATTGGGTTTTAGCACCCTGTTGGTTACAGAAGTGGTATAACTGTCTGGATGACTGAAGGTCCGCTTTGAGACCTCTGGTTTATGCTGGCTGTGGGATGTTCTTCCTTCATGGTGCATTGACCTCTGTGTTCTGCAGCTCAAGCATGACCTATGTGTATATGCAGATAGCGTGGAGAGGGTTGGTGGTGGTGAGATGTCCTGTTTGCAGAGCAGGTGACGGAACACTGCTCAGGGTGTTATGAAATAGATGAGCAATAGAGAAAACTCCCCTTTGTTCACAAAGTGTGTGTTTGTGGCGCCAGCTTCTCTTGGGGGTAGATTCCTCACGTCAGGTGGGCACTATGACTCCTGAAGCGAGTGCTGAGCCCAGCCTGAGGCCTCCCTCCAGCCCAGCCCTGAACAGGGGTTTCTTCTTTTGCAGTGTACGACATAGTGAAGAACTACACCGCTGACTATGACAAAGCTCTCATCTTCAACAAGATTCACCATGAGCTGAACCAGTTCTGCAGTGTCCACACCCTGCAGGAGGTCTACATCGAGCTGTTTGGTGAGCTGCCCCTTCTCTATTGATGCAGAGCTCCTTACCCCAGACTGATGGGCTTTGTACCTATGAATCCAGTATCTGCCCTGTCTGGAATCGGGATAGTTAACTACCTACCATCATTTCCTCCTTGTCACTCCTGCTCCAGTGTGTTGTGACAAGAACCATCCAAACCCAAACCTGCCAGTAGCAGCAGAGGGCTTTAGGAAAGGGAGCACTAATTCTGTGGTGTTATCTGTGTGTTTAGCAAACATGACTTGCTGAATCAGTCACAGGTTTTGCTTATCCAGATGGAAAAGCTGTTTTGAGCAAGCACTCCTTGGCCTTTGGGTTTGATTAGCTTTGTGTCATGCCTGTGGCTGCAGTGCCTGGTGCTGGGAAACAAGATGACTTGGCAAGAGCCTGCTGACCTTCCTCCTTGGCTTCAGGCAGAACAGACACCAGGAGAGCACATTGGGAAAGAGCCTGAAGTTGTGGTTTCTTAGCAGAAATAGACCAGTTGGTGCCAGTGCTGAGTGTTTTGTTTATGGCTTTGGACTGGCAAGAAACCCCTTCTACTGTTTCAGCACTACAGCCGTGCTGACTGCAGGCAGAAATGTAGCTGTGAATGGTTTTGGACCCCAAATGGACAGAATTTGTGCCTGGAAGGACACAGGCTGTTCACAAGCTCCTGTTCTCTGTTCAGACTGGGCTTTCCAAGAAGCCTGGCTTTCTGCTTCCTCATGTGCTGCTGCACAAGGTGCAGAACCAGGGCTCGGTTCCCCTCCAGGTCCTTTATGGGGCTGCTTTGCCAATGGAATCTCCAGATGTTGGCAGCTGCTGACGACAACTGCTTGAAAGGGCCTCAAAGCAACTGCTTTGCACAGAAGGAACTTGTATAAACTCCTGTGTAACTCTTTGTGTGACCTCAATGTGTTCTGGCTTGGCTCTGAAGTGGGGCACAGCCCATTCGTGTCATTCTCTGCCCCCACATCTGCAAGCAGGTGCAGGAAACTGATAACAGCTGCTTCCTAAACTGGCTGAGCCCCATTGTGAGGGTGAGTTCCAGATAAAGCTAAACTGGGACCAAAGCAAATAATCAAGGAGTGAGATGTGATCACTTTCTCAAGGCCATTACATTTTGATTTTTCCCTTTGCACTTCTCAGCAGGCCCCAACTGGAAACACTGCTGTCCTTAGAGCTTTCCACTGAAGCAGGGCTTTGGTTTGTGTTTCCTTTTGAAGTTTCTCAGCTATGCTCGAGTTAACTGTGTCCATTGAGCCAAACAGACGTTATGGAGATTTCTTTGCAGCCTATTGAAATAACCAGTGCAGCCAGTTCATGTTTCTGCCTTTGCATGTGCTTTGTCTCCTGCTGGCACAGATGCAATTCCTCGTCAGTCACCATTTAGCTGGGAAGATACCACTGGGGAAGTGGCTTAGAGAACAGATTTTCTATCATAATGATGCTACTTCTAGCTCAGAAAGATTCCAGCTGTGTTTTATGGGGAACTGGGAAGAGTTTCACTTTGTTTCCTGTGTCCCAAGTGTTTGGTGCTGCTCCGTGCTGCCTGACACGCTGAGAGAGATGGGAACCTGTCTCTGAGACAGCGATGGTTGTTCTCTACCCACCACTTCTGCATCAAACTTACATGGGTACTTACCTTCCAGCAGTAGGAAATATGAGCCCTTCCAGCCAGCTCTATGTGTTGACAACAAGCTGCCTTGTGGGACTTGTAGTTACCTGTTTTTTTTCTCCCCCAATCAGATCAGATTGATGAAAACCTTAAACTGGCCTTGCAGCAAGACCTAACTACAATGGCCCCTGGATTAATTATACAGGTAATTCATTATACGGTTCTACTTTGAGATGTCTAAGGTGTGTATTGTAAGGAGGGGTAAAGGAAAGGGAAAAAGGGCTAAAAGGAAATAGAAAGCTGTGAAGGAATGAGAACCATATCCTTTCCATCTCAGCTTTGATGTGTTGGGTTTCTGTTGGTGGTACTCTGGGTACTGCTTTACCCACGTTATTGTCTCCTGTCACAGCAGGAGATCACTGAATTCTGCATTTGCTCTGTGGGCTTTGGACCTGGTCATAGATTCTGCAGCAGAGCATGCCCCAGGCATCAGCTCCCCTGTGCTCTGCAGCCTCAGGGGCCATTTGGCTTTTGATTGTTGGCTGCTTGCCTATGTTTTCTTTGGTCTCCCTTTCCAGGCAGTTCGAGTTACAAAGCCAAACATCCCTGAAACAATCCGGAGGAATTACGAGCTCATGTAAGTGCCTGAGACTTGCACCTTTGTGTTAGCAAAAAGAATCGCTCATCCAGATTAATGTGTTTTCACAGCAAGCAGTGATCAGTGTGCCCTCTGCCAGGCCTGCTCCCAGCCTCGTGCTGCCTGCAGAAAGGGCCTGGGGAGGCTGCAGCAGACAAGCACGTGTCTGTCACTGCTGAGTTAGGAACTATTTCTCCCTTTTGAGCACTTGAGCACAGCAATTCGTTGCCCACAGCCTCTTTCCTCTTGACACTGGCCCTGTTTTAAAGAGGCCTCCCAGAGCATGGGAGTGAGTGGCAGGTGGAGAGAGTCCACCACTAATCCTGTTGTTTGTCTGGGATGGAGAAACTGTTGATTCAACAGGCTGAAGCTTTGCAATAACTTTCTTTAATAGCACTTGACACACTGATCCCTTCTCAATGCTCTGAGCCAGCTGCCTTCTCTTGCACTTGATCAGTCAGAAATGCTTATGTTCTCTGAGCACCCTGCCAGCAGGCTGGGTAGGCCACAATAAGGCTCCTCTTGTCCATTTTGCTTCCCTAGCATTCCATACAACCTTTTGGTATCATGGGAAGTCATGGTAGTCAAAATCCCAAATCAGCCTGTTAATCTGTTACCATAAATACAGTAGGATATGTGTTGGGAGAGGCTTGTTCTGAACTCTAATCTGTCTTCCCTCTTTGGGAGCAGGAACAGTATTTTCTTTACACACACAGAACCATGTGATGGAATGAAGGGTGGTTTCAAAGCTCCCAAATGAGGAAGACAAGGCTTTCACAGGATTTTAATGTCTTACTTTGCTTAAATCCCTCATAACAATCCCAAAGAACCTAGATGTGAACAGTCTATGCCTCTTGTAGAAGGCATTATGGCAGCCTACAGAGAGTAGCAGGGAGGGCTTCATTCTGGCTTGGCTGGCAAGTCTTCCTGCTATGGAGGAGAGGAAAAGACACTTTGGTTTAGAAGAAAAGCTCTTTGTGTGCAGGTACATGTGCTCACTTCCTAAGTGCTGCCTGCCCTAAACATGTGCTTGAAAGAGGACTGAGCCAGCAGCCACACCACTTCAGCAAGGTCACACTTTGTAACTGGCTTCTTCTGGCTTATTAGGGAGAGTGAGAAGACAAAGCTGCTGATTGCAGCCCAGAAGCAGAAGGTGGTGGAGAAGGAAGCAGAGACAGAAAGGAAGAAAGCTCTCATCGGTCTGTATATCTGTATGAAGGGGTAGAAGAACTGAAGAGGGGGAGTGGGGGGAAGGCAGCAAAAAGAACCCAGGCACTGGGGAGGGATGCACTTGGTTTGCTTTTGGGTGATCTCTGCTGTGGTTATTGGCTGCTGATGTCAAACTCTTCCAGGGAAACTCAAAGAGTTTTTAGATGAGTTCCAGCTTTGCCCACAGATGCAGACTGCTGCTTTCTGAGGGCTGGAAAGTCTGCCCACAATTTACTTTCACCAGAAGGGGGTGGTGAGGACTTGGGTGGGTGAAGCTGCTCCTGGCATTAGGAGGACTGCATGACCACAACGTGGATGTGTTCTGTTTCATTCTAGAGGCAGAAAAGATTGCACAAGTTGCTGAAATAACTTATGGACAGAAAGTGATGGAAAAGGAAACAGAGAAGCGGATTTCAGAGATCGAAGGTGAGTCTGTAGGAAGTCAATGTTCTGAGGTGAATTTTGTCCAAAGATCCTGAAGCAGCTCATGGAGCTCAGTAGTTCTTGACGTGTGTGTATTGACCATGTCCTTCAGTCCAAGCTGACATTCACTGTGTAGTTTGCATTGTTGCTTCTTCACCCCCCTTTAGTTTTGCAGCTGACTACTTTTAGGAACTAGGACTGACCAGAGGCAGGAATAGGAATGCTCCTTTGTAGACTGTGCTTCTTGGAACCTTCTGTTTCAAGGTGCTCTTCCTGGGAGGTTGTATTGTTAAATTAAGATGATGTCTCCCTACCCCTCTGATAAACTGCTTTGTTAAGGAAATTCCAGGACATGAAAAGGGGTCAGCATTTCCAGCTCAGAGTGACAGGGCCTTACTTTCAATTACCTTCGTTAGAGGCCCTGTCGAGCTTTGCAGAAGGGCACAGAGGAGCCAATTAAGACTTCTACAGATCAGCAGCTTCTCATTAAGGAGTTCTTCACGGAAATAGAATGGGGTTTAGTTCTTCTAAATGTGTGTCACTGGGTGTCAGGTCTTCAGTTCAACTCTGCTGGCAGAGGATTCCTCTCCCTCATTCCTTCTGGTGTCTCCGACTGGGACCGCTCTTTTTAGCCAAAAGAGAGGAAGTTGCAGGCCAACCCATCCCAATTGCTGCCATGATTTTGAAGTGTAGCAGCTCGCAGGACTCCCTGCTAGTATAGGAAAACAGATGGTTTATCCAGCTGTGCAACTCTGAAATCCAGACTGTATTCCAGTTGTGTGGCTCTCTGTCCTAGAAAGGATGTCAGGAGATCACAGCAAACCAGGCAGATTACACTCGTCTTAATGTGGTTGCCTCATACTGCATCATTAGCATTGGATAGACAAAAAGTGAGAAGGAGAAAAAGGAGTCCAATACAGAAAGGGGAAGTGTTTCTTTCCTTAAATGTCTCTGCTAGGAGTAAGGGAATTTCCACATCCCGCAGGATTGGACGCTTTACACATCGTTGCTATTACAAAGAAACAGCTCTCTGACATGTATCCAAGGAGCAGAGCTGGTGAAGGTTAAAATCACCCGCCTCTGCGTGCCTGAATCTTAACCTCAGCATCCCAGAGAAGATCCCATCTGGGGAATTGCATTCACAATCCCAGACTCCATCTCCAGAGCACTCTGCTGGGCTGTGAGTCCCATGCAAATGTTATGGGCAAATCCCACTTGTGCACTGGAACAGTTGCTGCCTTTTCAGCACAAGAGCTAGGGGCTGGCTGGAGAAGAAAGAGTGTTCTCAGCCCTCGTGACAGGGGTGGTAATAAAAACCTTATGTTTATAAAATGCTTTGAGGTCTTCAGTTGCAGAGGCAATTTACTTACTCCGTGCTATCATCCTGCAGTGTTGCAGATGTAAATTGAGATCCCATTGCTGTGTTTCCCATTTGGTTCCCTCTTCCCTAAACTGTATCCCGTACAGTTTAGATGTGGTACTGACCACTTTAAAAAGTTTTCCAGCTGCAAATGGTGCTAACATGGCTGGAAATAAAACTCTGAATATGAAAACATGTGTTTGCTTCCAGATGCTGCATTTCTTGCAAGAGAGAAGGCGAGAGCTGATGCTGAATGCTACACTGCTATGAAAGTAGCTGAGGCTAACAAGGTATTGTTATGTCCTCACGTTGGCCTTTGAAGCAGAGCTCCCTACATTAGGCTGCATAGAGATACTCATAGGATCATAGAATGGCTTGGGTTGGAAAGGAGCTTAGGATCATAAAGTTCCAACCCACTGCCATGAGCAGGGACACCTCACACTAGACCATGTTACCCAAGGCTCTGTCCACCCTGGCCTTGAACACTGCCAGGGATGGGGCATTTACCAGTTTGGGCAACCTGTGCCAGCACCTCACAGTAAAGAACTTCTTCCTTATATCTAACCTGAAATCAGGAAAAGAGCTGCCTGTGCTCATTGCTTGCTTGTTGTGTCTCACTGTTTAAGTCAAAAGGCAAACCAAACCATTATTCAGAGTTATTGAGCCTGAAACAATTAGACCCTATTTGCAAATTCATTTTCTTTGAGCAAATAAATTTGCATCAGGATACGTGAAATAGTTGGTCCTCTCTGGAGACAGCTCTGCTAGATGCTAATGGGGCCATGGCTCCCTCTGTAGATAGAATACCAGTTTCAGTGTTGCCCTTTCATGCCTTTGCAATCAGAAATGTCTATTAATTCCAGTGTGCAAGTTGGCAAGCAAGCAAAGCAGGAGCAGGGATCTCTCGAGTGACAGGCAGGCTTAAGAGGAAGTAAGTGTTTAGGTAAAGAGCAGATAGAGCTGATCTTACACATCTAAGTAACTAGCCTGGCAAAGCCCTTGGTACTGCCAAAGAAAGAAGTTGAAAGAAAGAATGGAAAAAGAGAAATCCTATGGATAAATGCCAGGCTGTAAGTGCCTGCAGCTAGTTCCCAGGCCATCCCAGCGGGAAAACTGTTTTGTAAGGGTCAGTGAGAATGGACAGAGGTGTGGGATGCTTGTGCACAAATTCTATCCCAGTTACTCTATCCTCTCAGTTCTAATGTCATTATCCTGAACGAATGAGCTCTGCTCTCCGGAACAGACTCTTCAATCTACTCTCTGGCTAGAAGCCAGTTGTGTTTTCTCTCCAGCAGCTTGCATTGCGAGGGCTTTTAGTGAGTTGTGTGCTTTCGAGCATCTCTGGTACATTTGGATTGAACGTTTCCCCAGCTGCTTCCATCACTTTCTCATTTTGCCATTTAGTCACTGGGATTTAGAGCTTCACTTTTAGACCTACTGAAAGAGAGCTTTCTTCTGGGCACTGTGCCTCTTCAGCTGAAGAGAGAATAAGCATGCCTGCTAGCATGATGGAAAAGTAGGATTGTCATGACACAACCTTGCTTTTGAGTGAATCCGAGCTGTTGGTGATCTCTTTTCTTTCTGTGCAGCTGAAGTTAACTCCTGAGTACTTGCAGCTGATGAAATACAAGGCGATTGCAGCGAACAGCAAGATATATTTTGGCAAGGATATTCCCAACATGTTCATGGACTATGCGGGAAGCCAGACCAAATTTGCAGAGGGACTGGCAGAAGGAATCCAAGAAGAAGATGGGGTAGGAACCAATGAGGACTCAAAGCTACTTCATAACGTCAACTGAAAGATTTCTATTCCTTTTATATCAAAAGAAACATGAACTGGGAAGTTCTTTTTGGTTTTCCCCCTTTCCTGTTCTGAAAGAGACGAATCAGACTTAATCCATTCAACCTTTTGTATGACAATTAGACTTTGGTATTTATGGGGTGGTTTGCCTGGTAACTTCTATGCAGCCAGCTCCAGGTATGTCCTTTAGATGCACCACTCCCTGCTCTTGGACATACAGACCAAATTCCTCTGGAGAGGCCAGCTTAGATGGGTACTTCTTTTTGGATTGAGGTGGCTCATAGCAGTAGGAAGTCAAGAAATGGTGAGGTTTTGGAGGGAGGGGAATTGCTGCTACAACTTGTTTTGGTTGGAAATTTCAAGTACTTTATGGAAACCCCTTTAACAAAAAGGTGCTAGACTTTTATACACTAGACACAGCTGCTTGAAGACCTTGTCTAAAGGGCAGTTTGCCCCCATTGCATGGGGTGCTGGGATGGTCTTAACAGCCTGTGTCCATGCTCCAGGTCTGCCCAGAGTGCAGGGTGTAGCAAATGCATAAACCCATCTTTTAGTGAGGTCTGAGCTGACCTGGTTTGCTTGCTAGGGCAGCTGAGACCACAGTGAATTAAAGAAATCCAGCTGAAATCCTGCAGGTTCCCTGGTTTCCATGGGGGGATCTAAGCCTTACACCACTGCCACTACAGGTAGTGACCCAAACTGTTCCTTTTGTGCATCTTAACACTGCTTTGGTTTCCATTTGTCATAGTTGGGGAGGACAAAAGGGGGGAGTCAGTAGTTTGAGGCTTTCCCCAGCTGCTTGGTGAGGGGCACAGGCGTGCTGCTGGAGAACTGGAGTTGATTGTCAGTGGCACCAGGCTGCAAGCACGGTACTTGTCCCATTGTCCTGGTTAGGAAAACAGGGAGAAAAGCATTTTTGTCTCAGGGACCCTGACTTTGTCAAAAGCCTTGTTGCTGGCAAGTAACTGCTTGAGTGACCCACGTTACCTGCCTCTGCAAGAGCAACTGGATTTCAGTGTTTACAGTTTCTTACTAGAGAAGGCATTCAGGTAAACTGAAAGGAATGGAACTGAGTTTGTTGTGTCTGGGGGGTTGTTCTCTGAATAGACCTCGTGAAAAGAAGTTTTATGGTAGCAAAGGACACAAACCATCAAAGTGAGAAGTGACAGGGCAAAAAGCAGAACCTCTTGTCTCTGAACTGTCCTAAAATACGTTGAATGTTCCTTTTGTACTCAGAACAATGCCATATAACGTACCTTTCACTTCCAAAAGCCAATGAATTCTTCACATACCAGATGCACAGAGGTATTAGGGTTGTGTTTGACACACATGCAAAGCTTGAGAGGGTGTTGAAGACAAAAGTTCAGACCTAGAGAGAACATTCCTGTTTTTTTTCTGTCCCTAATCCATCTGCCACTTGGCAGCAGAGTCTGTTTATTAGTTGCCATTATCATTTGTGGCCAACATACTAATATGAGCTGATACAAGTATAAGTGCTAACTTAGTTGTCAGAGAGCCAGCCTGTTGCATTTGCAATCTTTGTGCCCCCAGCACTTGCTACCCACTACATTTGGTTTCATTCTTCAGTGACTGAAACATGCATTAGTCCTTTGAATAAGGTGATCACACTAAGATAGAACTCTGAGGGATTTCAGCTGCTGGTACCAGTATTCTTACTTCAGTTTTCTTTCCCCTGGTAGGAAGGAGAGTGACAATGCACAATAAAGGGTAAGCATCAGTTTCTGCTCTAGGAAAGTCCCATCTCCTATTGTGTCAGCTTTATTTGTTAGGAAATACAAGCAAAGGGAAGTTCCATCCCCACACCTACGACATTAGCACAGCAGTCAAAATGGCATCAGTAGGTAGGCTGTAAAACTGCCTTTTGTAGGGTTATGAACAGGGAATAGCAGATGAAGTAATAGTATCTAAATCTTTGAGGATGATCTCATTTGGGATTGTTCTACATTTAAGTTAGAGATTTCCATTAGTAACTGAAAACTACATTTGACATGAGTGGGTTTTGCTAATGAAAAGCCCAAAATAAGCCAAAGTGGTATTAAAAAGGGTGGTTTTTTTGTATGACTTCACAGCAAGACAATAGTTTGGAAAAAATAGGTCTTAACGCTTTTTTTTTCTTGTTTTAATTGAAAACATTACTGTTGAATTATTCTTGTCACTTCAGCTGTCACAAGAGTCAAAAGGCAAAAAGCAAGGTTGAAACCAGGCTTCACAAGCCAGAATCTACTGTTGCATCCAGGTTTCTTCCTTGTATGTCTGATCTCCTGTATTTCCCAGCCCTGTCACTACATCGTGATTCCATCTCTCTCTTTAACTGACGTTTTGGCCTCTTTCCATCATCTGAAATCTTGGAAGATCCGAGTTTTAAAACCACTCTAACAAAGCAAAGCCAGGTTTGTGGCACTGCGGTGATACCCCAGCATTGCTGGCAGGAGCATGGGAATGCTTTCCCAGCGCTGTCTTTGATCTACTTATGTATTAAAAGCCTTTTTATTTTGGTATTTGCTATGACAATAAAATGGCCTTCAATTTTAATAGTGCTCCTGGTTTTATCCCTATGGACAACACAATGTGTAGATGCACGGCATCTACATGCAGTACATTGGATGCAAGGGAAGATCAACCAGGGGTAACATTGAGGCTGCTGCTGCTCCAGGGGGAAGAGTGCTGTGGATCTGTGCTGAGTTGCCATTGACCCATGTGCTGCTGCCTGCAGCCATCCTCCCAAGGAGCAGGAAAGGGTGGATGCATCCCTATGAGCTCAGGGAATGCCACAGGCATTAGCAGAGCAGGATGACAAACACAGTAACAAGCGTTTAGTGTCAAACAGCAAGGATTTGGTCAAGCTTGCATCAAATCATTGTCATGTTTTAGCACACAGAGAGCCTGGTGGGTGTTTTGAACCAGCTGTGTCGATACTGTCCTTGCTGGGAATGTGGGAGAGCCCAGTTCTGCACATTAAGACAAGTATTTAGCTAATGGGTTCCAGCTGGCAGGTCCCAGTCATTCCGTCTGACTCGCTGGGATAAAGGCTGGCATTGCCCTGCTGCTCCCCACCACCCAGTGTGCCCAAGTGTTGCCTTGCTTTACAAAGGGGCGTTTTACCTCTAGTCATTGGGATTTGCACTCTAGAAAGACGGCTCTTCGTGCAGAATGGCCTGGCTGTGGACTCTGTGGTGGTTTTTATTGCAGTATTCAAGGTATATGGTCCAAAATAAGCCCTGCAGTGTTGCGGTGGGCAGAACACGCCCTCTGAACACAGGGCTGCTGCCTGCCACGCTCTCCTTCCACTCATAAGCGCCAGAGGGATCTGTAGGTGCTCTCCTCACCCGGGTGAAGGCTCCCGCTTGGATCCTTCCCCTCAGAACCTGCCGGCCCAAGGGGAGGCCGCGGTGTTGATGGGGTGCCAGGGCAGGTTATGAGGTGCTGACACCGCTCTTGTTCCTCACAGCAGGACCCCCAGCGCTCCTCACTGCCCCTCAGCGCGGCATCAAGCCTCATCCCAGCCACTTCAAGGGCAGGAAGGCGAGTTCGGACAGCACCGGAGCCTGGATGAGGCCGCCATGGAGCCGCAACCCTCCTCCCTCAGCCGCCCCAACATGGCGCCACCGCCCTACGCCCCGCCTCGCCGCTCCCATTGGTGGGCGATGCGCGACGGAGCAATTCTATTGGCTTGCAGGGGAGGGGCGGGGCCAGCCGGGGATGTGGAGGGCGGCGGGCATGGCCGCCGGGGACGGGCTGGGCCCCGCGCTGCGGGCCGTTACCGAGCGGGTGCAGCAGGCAGCGGCGCGCCGGCCGCAGGTGAGCACCGGGGCCGCGGGGAGAGCCTCGGCCCACGGCGGGGGGCACACTGGGTGCGGGGGGGGCAGGCCCTCCGGCACTATGGAGGCAGCGCCCTGGGGGCCTGTCATGGAGGCAGGCGGCTGCTCCCCTCAGCGAGGGTGACAGGACCCCAGTGTCGTTCTTAGAGGTGTCCCTGTTGCTGTGGAGAGAAAGGTGACCCCTTCCCATAGCTGGGGCTGGGGCCGTGGTTTTGGGTGCTGAAGGATGCTGGGGGGCAGCGTGGGGCAGGTTGGAGCCTTCCCAGCTCACCTCGGGTGCCCGTGCAGGGGCTCCCGGCCGTGCAGCCGCGGCTGGTGGCCGTCAGCAAGACCAAGCCGGCGGAGATGGTGATCGAGGCCTACAGCCACGGGCAGCGCAGCTTCGGGGAGAACTATGTGAGTGGAATGGGCCCCGTGGGTCAGTGATGGGCCCCATAGGATTGCAGTGGGCCCCATGGGTTGGTGATGGGTCCCTTAGGTCTGTGATGGGCCTCGTGGGTCGGTGATGGGCCCCACTGGACTGCAATGCTCCCCATGGGTTGGTGATGGGCCTCACTGGACTGCAGTGGGCCCCATGGGTTGGTGATCGGCCCCTTAGGTCTGTGATGGGCCTCGTGGGTCGGTGATGGGCCCCACTGGACTGCAGTGGGCCCCATGGGTCGGTAATGGGCCCCGTAGGACTGCAGTGGACCTCATGGGTTGGTGATGGGCCCCTTAGGTCTGTGATGGGCCTCGTGGGTCGGTGATGGGCCCCACTGGACCGCAATGCTCCCCATGGGTTGGTGATGGGCCCCATTGGACTGCAGTGAGCCCCACTTGACTGGAGTGGGCCCTGTGGGTTGGTCATGGGTCTCTTAGGTCTGTGACGGGCCCCATAGGTCTGTATGGGCCTCACGGGTTGGTGATGGCCCCATGCTGCAGGCAGGCACTGTGGCAGCCCTGTGTGGGGCTCTGAGCACGGGGAGCTGGGCTTGGCCATACCATTAGGCCCCTGGCCTTGTATTTATGAGGGGCTTATTGATCCCAGGGTCATACATTCTAGAGAGACCCTTCTTATGGTGCAGGCACCTCTGGTGTGCTTATAACAAGAGATTGTCTTGATTCTCCTAGGTTCAAGAGCTGCTAGAAAAGGCATCAGACTCCAGGGTGAGTACCCAGTTCTCTGTGTGTGTGTTCTCTCTCCCTATAGCTGTGTCCTGGGAGCTGCTCAGCACAAATCCTGGTTTTTAGGGATTTGGCAATGGAGGCTGTTTGTTCCATGTCTCTTCAGATAAATGATGTGGTTATTTTTAGCTCTTTGCCTGCCCCATTGCCTCTCCTTGTCTTGCTGGCCCTGTGAATACGTGTGCTTTAGTCATAGAGTCTTTGCTTAAATGCTGCTTTATCTTTTGTGCTTTCTGCTGTAGGAGGTTCACAGTCATTTAAAAACGTGGTAACACTCAATTTAGGGAAAATACCACGTTAGGACTATTCAGTTGCAAAAGAGCTTTGCTTTCCCCCTGTAGTGCTCTGCAATCAGAGCCCTGCTCCTCTGCAGAGGGTGAAGCAATCTCAGTACACAAGCAGTAGCTGAGCTGTGCCTTTTAGGGTAAATAGAAGAAGATTGGGTGTTTTGCTTGTGGGCAAACTGAGGCTCAAGTGCTGTGTGGGGGAAGAGGGAGTTGTCATTCAAACCTCACTGGTCCTCTCTGCTTCCAGATTCTGTCCTCTTGCCCGGACATTAAATGGCATTTCATCGGCCACCTGCAGAAAACCAACGTCAACAAGTTGATGGGTAAAGCCTGTTTCATGTGCATTGATGCAGTGTTCAAACAGGACCGACCTCTGTGAGCGAGCTGAGGTGTAGGTACAAAACCTGGGCCAGCAGCACTGCCCTCAGCCTGTGTTTTCTCCCCAGCTGTCCCGAACCTCTTCATGTTGGAAACAGTGGATTCGGTGAAGCTGGCAGACAGGGTCAACAGCTCCTGGCAGAAGAAAGGCTCCCCTCAGAGGCTGAAGGTCATGGTGCAAGTTAATACCAGTGGAGAAGACAGTAAGTGGCTTTTTCTGCTCATAAGCAGGCTTGTCCTGCTGCTAGGACAGAAACAACCTCACTGGGATGGGTTGCTTTGTGCTCTTAAAGCGTTTCTCTGAGCTAGGATGAAGCTTGCTTCTCTGTTAGCTTCAGCCTGGCCTCTGGCAGAGAGTGGCACAGATCTCCCTGCTTTTTGCCAGGTAAGCATGGCCTTCCTCCTGGAGACACCACTGCTGCTGTGGAGCACATCATCAACAAGTGTCCCAGCCTGGAATTTGTGGGGCTGATGACCATTGGCAGCGTTGGGCATGACCTTAGTAAGGGTCCAAATCCTGACTTCCAGGTAGGATTCTCTAGAAGAAAATGTTACCTGTTGGCTTATCTCCCATCAGGCTGGAAGTCTGTGGGGCGTCCATTAGAAACCCTTAGAGCTCAGAGGGTATTAATGCAGGTGCTAGGCTCAGTTCTGCAGACGTCCATCTGTATTTGGTCCAGCTCCTCTGGAGCTGTAGCCAGGATATGGGAGGAACACCTCATGCAGCAGTTCCTGCCCTGTCTCCTCTGGTCCTGTGTCCAGATGGGGTTTCAGTCATCCTTCCTTTGCCTGCTGTGTGTGCAGGGTGCATCAGGCAAAGGAACCAGGTCTGTGTTCCTCATCTGTCACGCTGCTGTGATAATGGGATGTCTTCAGAAGATGTGTACACTTGGAAGTATGGGTGCTGTCAGTAACGTAGCCTGGAATAGGGAATCTGCAGGGGCTTCAGTGGGAAGTGTGAAGGAGACTTCAAAGAAAGGCAGAGATTGTGATCTGTGGAACCCTGAAACAGAGCTGCTGTGGCTCTCAAGTGTGTGATCCTCTTTTCTCTCCCCTTCCCTTCTAGATGCTGCTGTCTTTGAGGAAGGAAGTGTGTGAAAAGCTCAGTCTCCCCATTGAGAAGGTGGAGCTGAGCATGGGCATGTCCACAGACTTCCAGCATGCAGTAAGTCTGGTTTCCTTCTGCCACCCCTTCTCTTGGGAAACAAATGTACCAGCACCAGCTGTAGGCATCCCAAAGCCCAGCCCAGGCATCATCCAAATGGGCCTATTGGTATCTTCATCCAAGGGGAAGCCTGATGGTGCTGGTCCATGAAAAAGCTCTCTCCTGTTTCTGGGATGGATCAAACAGACCTTTGCTGTAGGGTGGCGAGTTCATGGGGAGCCATCCTGTGATGGGACAAGCATAGAGTTTGGCTACAGACTGTGCTGGCAGGTTTGGGTGGCAGCTCTGCCCTTAACTCCTCCTTTGTCTCTCTCCCTAGATAGAGGTTGGATCCACAAACGTCAGGATTGGAAGCACTATATTTGGAGAGCGAGATTATTCCAACAAAGCAGGCAGTGAAGGCAAAACTGAGACCTTGACAGTGCAAGGTCAGTAGGTGGGAAAAGAAGTGGCCTCACCAGAGGACAGCTGATGGGAGACCTCACTATGCATTCTTCCCTCCCTCCGTGTCGGCACCCCGTCGTGATGGTGAGAGGGAATTCCTCCTAACAGAACAGAGGCCAGGAATGCCTCCTAATTTATTGTGATTGTAGAGTACCCATAGGAACTGGAAATAGAACCAACAAATCATAAGACAATGTATGCTTGAAAGTGACTGTGGTATCTTGGCTCCTTCAGGGTCCTTGGGTTGACAGGATTGACCAAAGTGTTTGTCAGGAT